GTCTGCCTTAGAAAGTAGTGATACATCATAACAATGCCAGGGACACAGTAAGTGCTCTATAAACATTTTCCGAATGAATGAATTCCTGAGGTAGATGAAGAATTATTTTGAAATCCACGTCCTAAGGATCTCAGCTGACTGAGTGAGCCCCTAACTTGGGCCAGTTTGGTACTTGATTATATTTAATTTAGCATTTTCTCTAGATTTTTTCAAATGTATGTCTTACCTTTTTAAGAAAACATTTGGTATATTTAAGATGTGAAACATGTCTTTTATTTTATGATTATAAGTCTAGTGGTAAAACTCAACAAACACATGTTTGATTTAATTTATCAAGAAAAATAGTAAAATATAGATGTCGAATACAAGAAAATCAAAAATGATAAGGGTGGTTGGTTACCTCTGATTGATGGGATGAGAGATAATTTGTAGTTTTGAAATCTTATTTTTTATTGTGCCTTAAATTTTTCCTACAATGAACATGTATTCTTTTAGAATTTAAAATAATACATTTCAATAATAAAAGGTACTAGATACTAAAGCTCTTGAAATCCACCTCCATTAACTCTTGTTCAGGATCCACACAGTTGAAGTATTTTAGTTTCGATATCACTATTGGTTGGTTATGTACATAAAAAAGTTGTAGATAATGCCAGCTCCTACATATGTACACAAATATTTCATCACCAAGATATTAAAAGTACCTGTATAAAACTAATTCTACCAACACTCTAAAATGCTCTTACAGACTTATATGTTAGCAAAATAAACCACAGAAAGTGGGGATAATACATTTCGTCAGGACAGTATCTTCTAGTAAACAAGTTGTCTGTGACAAAGCTTACTGAATATTTAATTGCCTCTTTTAATTATCCAAAATAAAATGACAAATTCCTGAATTTCTCCAGCAAGATCGCCATTAACAGGAAGGGACTGGTAGACAGACAATGCTCATTTTTCAAGAGATTTTTGTAAGAATGACCCAGATGGCCTAGCCCTTCTCAATAAGCCATTGTTCTGTGTCTAAAACTCAAAAACTAGAGGAAGTCACAGATGACTAAAGAGCTGGAGACATATTTTTGAGGCCAATTGACATTGTTTCAAATAAGATAAATGTCTTGACCAAACTGAAGGACCATGAGACATGGGAATAGACCAATGGCTCTACTGCATCCCAGGGTATAGCATGACTCTACCTCTGCCTATACATTAAAATCTGTGTGCTCTGGACTGGCCAGAGAATAGATGAGACAGAATAAAATAGTTTTTCTAAAATCAGACCTACCAAAACTATTAAAAGCCATCAGATAGCTACAATCCATTTATCACTTTAGCATCAATCATCTCTCTACCTAGGCCTAAAGCAGTCATTTATGGAACCCATGGAGATGTGCTTAACATTTTCTGGCTGGATAGATTCCTTATTTCTGACTCCTGCATGTTTTTTGGCTATATAGCTCCTGGAATGTCTGCTTTCCAACAAAAGTGTAAATTTCTCATTGACTTCCACTCTTAAGTTGGAAGTAAGTACTTGAAACCATCTAGGTCGACTGTTTCCTCTAATTCCCTCTGATCTCAGCTAGTAGGCTCACTTATCTGTGTCACATCCTAGACTCTGAAGCCACCTCAGACCCTAAGTCAGTGACTTGCCCACCTTAACTCTCTGGGGGTAGAGTGACTCAGCAGCAGCCCTGCTCTGCTGATAATCCTCCTCTTCTCATACTACAGCCCTAAATATAGGGCTACCTCTTCTATTTTCTTGTGATGTTTGTTATTTATTTGAGAGAATTGTCTCATGTTAATTTGTTTGCTGGTTGCTTCTTTTTTTTTTTAAGACAAGACCCTCTCTTGTTCTGCTTATTCAGTAGTCTCTTGCCTCGTTTCCTCATGCTTAAGTATTTTTCTAATTCCCCAGTTCCTCCAAAATTGAATTTTGCTTTGCCCACTCTTTCAGAGACTGGAATTCTGAATCTTGGTTTCCATGGCCAAGTCTTTTCTACCTTCTAATAGACTAATGCCTAAATAAGCAGCCACAGGCTGGAGAATCACTGGCTGTTCTGGTCTCCAGTTCCAGTAGTCTGGAACCAACCCAAGTGCCTTCTGTGTGCCAGGCACAGAAGAACTGGGGATGCTGCAGGGAGCAAGAGAGACAGAGCTCCTACATCATGGCGCTTACATTATGATGTGGAGAAATACAATAGAACATATAAGCAAATATAATTCTAAGTCATTATTATTATGAAAAAAAAAAATACTCATTCTGCCTTATGCCTACTGCTGACCTTCTGTGATGCCTGCAGTTTATACGAACTTCTCTTCTATCTGCTGTTGAGAACTTCCCTGAATATTGCCCTTAGTTAAAGCAGATCCCATTGAACATCATCTGGAATCTGCATTTGGAGCTTTTGACAAATAAGTTGTAAAAGCAATGACTAATCCCACTAATGTCTGCCGGGAATCCTTTAGTAATCATGGGATCTCCCCTTCTACATGATCATAGCTATCTTTCCTTGACTGGGAAGTCCAATTCCACACATGAAACTCATAGGACTACCTCAACTTCCTCTTCCCTGGGCTGTCGTACTATTTAAAAACAAAACAAAACAATATCTGTTTATTTAGAGAACCAAATAGAAAGGCATGGACAATAGCACACATCTCCCACTCTCCTTTCTTCTCTCTCTGTGTTCAAGTCTCTGAGTAATTGGATCCTCTCCAACTTTTTTAAAAATCTCTCTTTTCCAAATTCCCCTGGCACTCTATCTTTGTTTATGCTATTGCACTGATATGCCCTTCATTATCCTGTTTGTCAAAATCATATTGATCATCGTTACACAGCTTAAATTTCCCCTTTTTGAAACCTAGAACCATCTTCTATGTACTCTTCCCAACTATTCCAACCTAAAGAGAGTCTTCTCTCCTCTGAACTTTCATTACATTTATTATCCATGACACACATTTAACACTCGTAAATTCTCTTGTCTTAGTTTTCTTTTAATTTTCATGTTTTTATCTCAACTGCATAGTAAGTTAATTAAAAGCAGTATCTTATTTACATAATGGGTCCTAATTCTAGAGTCAGACTGCCTACATTTTGATCCTTTCACTGTTATTTACCGACTTATTCTTGGTTTGTTTTATCATCTGTAAATTGGAAATAGTGAGTTATTCCCAAATACAGGTTTTGTGGACATTATATGAGAGAACACATGTAAAGTACTTAAAATAGTGCCTGGACCATGGTAGGCACTCATTAAATGTTAGCAATTATAACAATTATTCATGTCTCTTACCTTCAAAGGACCTAATACAGTGCCTTGGTCTATGGAATTCAGTTGAGTCAGTTGAGGGAAATAATATAGATGTGTGGCCAGTATAGCATGGAGTAGGGGAACGTCCTGACATCACTAATATAATGCCACAGATGCCTGTCACTTACTGTTGGCAGCCAGACACCCTCTTTCTGTGTCCCCTCTCCTCCCAAATACTGCTCGAGAGACTTCTGAGGGTTTGGCTCAGTGAACAAAGAACGCTTTCCCAGAGCATGCTTCTCTTCCTGCCAATCAAAACTGATCAGGCTGCAGAGAGCAAGTCCCCAGGCATCCTAAGGGTCTTGAAGGTAGAATTAAAATGTGGACCAGAGGGATTTCATATGCCCAAAAAGAAGCCCATCAGCCAACTATTTTATTTAATATACCCCAAGACTGGCCTACTAAAGTGGGAAGCAGACTCAGCAAGATGCTCCTCTTTCATCTCCCAGGCAGAGTTAGAATGCCAATAGGCACCAGTCAGTATAATGCTCTCAGTTGGGATCCCATCATCAGCTAAAGAATAACAGATTCTGGCCAAAGAGATGGGGCCACTTGTGCTGCTCAACTAAGCCATAAAGATAGATTTTTTTTTTTTTTTTTTTTTTTTTTAGAAAGAGAACATTAAACTGGAAAGTATAGTTTGAGCCATAGTAAGCATCATGGATGTCACTACCATTTAGTAGACCAGAGGGATTCAACAGATCCAGGCTTAAGCCATATATGACCTATTGAGAACAATTCAGAGAGGCAAGAAATTATTTTATTGTAAGTGAAAAAGTGTCATCAAAGGCATGAACGCAGGTCCAGTGAAACAAATATGTGCTTTGGATGCAAACAGATCTGGATCCTTCATATTCAAGCTGTGTGATCTCGGGAAACTTTTCTAACCTCAGTTTTCTGACTGATAACGGCAATTATAACACCTAGCTCACTTGACTGCAGTGAACCTTAAATGAGATAGATAATGTATTTATTATCGCAGGCTACCTAGTCTGTGGCACAAGTTCCCTTCCCTGTCACTCCAAAAGCAGATGCATCCTGCCCAAGGCTAAACGTGATGACAGTTCCACAGGCCGGTGAAATAGGATTATTTGAACCTTTCTGAAATATTGACCTAGATTGTGCTGGGTGTTGTACAATTCACAAAGTAGAAAGGCTCTCCGCTCCCAGTGCTTTTCACACTGGCAACTCAGAAGCCTACCTCGGTGTAGAGGGCTGTCTTCTCCCAACCCTCCAGAAGAGATCCGGATTTATCCTGGGTTTCACCACGATGCTGACACATTGCCATTTCCAACAAGGCCAGTTTCCTTGCTGAAAGAAGTCCTTCCCCTGGGTGAAATCCCAGCAGCTTCATTTGCTTAAGTTCCCTTATTGGTTTTGCTCATGTCAGCTGTGGTTTTCCCTCATTACAGTGTATTGATAACAAGCAAACAGCCAGGGCAAACTTGCCCTAAGAAGGCCGCCTCTCGATTTCCCTGACTGCCCAGGGACGGGGCGGTTTTACTGGTGGGTGGAGAGGGTGTTACGGAGCGGAGAGGCGCCCTCCTGGACAGGGCTAGGGGAGCAGGGAAGGGAGGTCGGGAACCCCGGGCCGGGCGGGAGAAGGGAATCGCGTGCAGCTTCTGGGTCGAGCCCGACAGGTTCCAGCAGCTCCCTTCACCCTTCTCTACGCCTCTCGGGTTTTCCTCTTGGCTCGGGGTTTCTTGTTTTCAGTTCTCGGTGATCTCCAGCAGCAGGTGCTGGTTTGCCAACCTCCGCTCCAGAGGAGGCAAGGGAGAGGACAGGAGGGAAGGGGAGGAGGAAACCGCGCGCCGGCGTTGGCGGAGTTCGCTCTCTCTAGCTGAGCAGCGGCGTGGGCGGCGGCCCTGGCTTCCAGGGCATGTTGCGATGGCTGCTCAGAAGAGACTGCAAGTAGGTTGAGCCGCGTGCGTGCGCGTGCAGGGTGTGAGTTGTGCAAGTCCGGGGAGGAGGCGCCGGGGCCGCGTTAGAGAGCCGAGGTGGCCGCTTCCCTGCGGGGTCGGCCATGCCGGGTAGCGGTCCCCAGGTTTGTCCCTCGGGAAGGTGGGGGAAGGAGCCAGCAGCGGCGAGCGTGGCCCTGAGGGAGCCGAGCCAGGGCAGCGCCGCGGGCCGGAGTAGCCGGGGCGGCGGCTGCGGGCGACCTCCGGGCCCGGGCGGGTCGGGCTCCTGGAGGTCGCGTCTCTCGGCTCCCGCGGCTCGGGTGGAGCGGAGGGGGAAGCCGAGCGCACCCTGTCCGCGGACGGAGCCGCCCAGCCGGGGTCTCGGGCGCGGTGAGGCCGGCGTCCCTGGCCCGTGGCGTAGGGCACCGGTCGACTCCCGCCCGCCTCAGGGCACGGCCGCCGAACGGGGAGGCGAGCTCGGGCGCCCCAGATGGAAACGGTCCCACAGCCCTGCTCCTGCGGCTCGGACCCTCGCGCGCTGGTGGGGTGAGGCATCATCCGACATCTCGGATTCAGCCCCAGCCATTAGCTTTTCGTGTCCATCAGCTTTTCGTATCCATCCCTCCAACCAAACTGCCACCACCGTCAGGCCAGCCCTAAAGAAAAGCCCCTCGTCCCTTCTGCGCCCCTCACCCTTCAGTCTCCAGTCGAATTCCCATTTTCACCCTGCGTTCATTTTAGCTGGGTTGGTTCACATTTTTAACTCCCTGCGAGGATGTGTTACAAATATAACGTGGAGAAATAAATACATCCTGATTTTCTTCCCTAAACTGTCTCAGCCATCACCCCTTTTAAAGTCCTTGAAAAACAGCCTTAGCTTCCAAAATACAGAATACTCTAACTGGGTTGCTTGCCTTTGGGGTAACCGTTCACAGCTCTGGTTTGTGCTCTGTGTTTTGTGATAAAGAGATGAAATGCTAATCTAGATTTAGGGAAAGTTTGCCTATTAGTTGCAAGACTGTATTGGAGTATCCCCAGGCCCCCTGAGGCGCTTGTTGATTCAGATCTACTTTTCTTTCTTTTCTTTTCTTTTCTTCTTTTTTCTTTTCTTTTCTTTTCTTTTCTTTTCTTTTCTTTTCTTCTTTTCTTTCTTTCTTTCTTTCTTTCTTTCTCTTTCTTTCTCTTTCTCTTTCTTTCTTTCCTTTCTTTCTTTCTCTTTCCTTTCTTTCTTTCTCTTTCCTTTCCTTCCTTCCTTCCTTCCTTCCATTTTTTCTTTCTTTTTAACCATCTTAGAATAGATGCAAAAATCCTTTGGTCTAAGTACTGAATATTTATAAATTTGGGAAAGATCTTCGTTTCTTCACTTATTTCATCATATATTTCTAATGTATTTTATAAACGGAAAACAGTGGATATACCTCAATATTCTTTTGGACTTTCCAAGAACTACAAGAAGTCAGGAATATAGTATATTTTTAAACTCTTAATGTATTTAGCGTTTAATGGGTATGATTCCATTTATCTGATTACTTACATATACAATTAATGTTAGCAGTTTTTTAAATACTGGTATTATCTAATGCTTGGATAATAGGATAGCGTCACCAAATATTTGTGAAATTGTCTTATTTCGATAAGCCCAGGAAGGTGCTTATTTCAGACTTGCCTCTCTCGTCACCTGTTTTCTTCTAATTTGGCATTCTTATTTTAAGTTACCTGAATCTGTCTACTTGAAGTACCTTAAATATATCCGTATTGTCTAGTAACTGACTGTATCTCTATAATTCAAAATGTTTTGGAGTATTTCTACTTAATTTGAGAATGAGTTTTACTTTTCAAAGTAAATTACAATTCTGGTCATCACAAAAGTACTTAAATATCATAAGCAAAGTAAATCGAACTCTTAACACAACAAGAAAGAAGCCAGTATTTTTAAACTTGCATTTATAATGAAAATCTTATGCAACTCATTATAATGGAAAATATTAAAAGATAGGAAACAGAAACTTGGAATGTGTGTATGTTGATGGAAGTTTTCATTCATCACTTCCCTTTTCTACATATTTGTTGTAATTACCAAACTAATGAAAAGATCCTATTTTATATTAATGGCTTCTCTGGAGCTATGTTTTCATGGATTATGTCTGCTTAACTACCCTAAGTGATTAATGAAAATCGTATTTTTAAAATATTTTTCTCATTCTACAACTGGGTTACCTTGTCTCACCATTCTAGCAGACCACAGTGGTTTCTACATTAAATTACTGTAATAGATGTAAAAGTGTTGCTATCATTTTATAGCTTTTTATACAATTTTATACCCTTTTATATGCTTTCATATCATTTTATACCTTTTAGAATTTTTCATTTGTTCTTGTACGTAAATTTAGAAGAATTCTTTCATTCAGATTTGATTGCAGTTTTAAGAAACAACCCTAAGTTATGAAGTAGGAGGATTTTTGTTCTTGCAGTATTAGAATTTAGGATTGTAAACTAATCTGCAGTGATTGCTCATTTGAGACTGGTAAATACTATTCCCTCAGCAAATAATTAGTATCAATCTAAGTGCTATGTAAGGTCTCTGACCTCTAAAAGGAGGATAATGAACAGTTAGATCATAATGCTGGATCAAATTTGCTAAATAACATGAATAAAAAAGTAAATTCAGGTACTGGGGAAGAACGATATGCCATACCTTGAAGGTAGGATTCAAGTGCAGGCATACCTCGGAGATATTGCAGGTTTGGTTCCAGACCAGCACAATAAAGCAAATGGTAATCTTTTTGCTGATGGAGGGTCTTGCTTTCTGTTTGTTTAAAAAAAAAAAAAAAAAAAAAAAAAAAAAAAAAAAGGAGGCTAAAAAACCCCACCTCTGAAGCTCAGTAAAGCAGCAAAACACAATAAAACAAGGTATGCCAGTAGATATAGGTAGACATAAGTAGCCAGTAGACAAGGTAGAATTGATGGAGTAATTTCTAAATGAATGCCGTAAATCACAGGACCCTGACAGGAAAGCAGAATGTAGATGGTCTAGTGTGTCCAGAGCATTAGTGGATGATGGGAACAGTGGGTGATTAGGGTGGCAAAGGCAGTATTAGATGTATAGTTCTTAGAAAGCGAAATATTAGGAAGGTCAGGAAATAAAAATTTATTAAATCAGGATTCCAAATTTAAACCTAAAATATCAAAATTCTAAGGTTGGATCTCAAATATACCAAATGTTCTTTAAAATCTTGTGTTTTAAGTGTTAATATGCCCCCATGGACCTACAGCATATGTGTTTTCAAAACTATAATGTTAAGATTCACCAAAAACATTATAATCATTGCTGTTGTTTCACTATTAACAGTTCAGGGAAATGACAAAAAATTGAGAACATGATTTTTTAAAAAATCTTTTTTATCCCAAAATATATGTCCAATAAGCTTATTCATTCAGCATGGTTTTGCTCTTTATTTTTTCTCTTCAACAAATGTTTTTCTCTCATAAAATGAAAATAAAGAGTAATCACCCATAAAGCATAGTATATATGGTTTTAAGTCACACCACTGACAGTAATTCTTATGCTTAGTGACTCACTCTAAAGCAAAGGTCATAAGCACTTTTTGAACATTCAAAGCATTCTGCCTTTATGATAATTATCAAATCTCTAAGGGAATAAGTAGAAAACCCCAAAATCTCCCTGCTTGCCTTGGACATTTTTCCTAACCCGCCCCCCACCACACACACACCTTTTGCCTAGCTCAGCGTTATTATTCAGGCCTCAGCTTAGATCTCATTTGATTTACTCCATTGTAGTTTAAGATTGATAACTTACTATACCAAGCATTGTTCTAAGTGTTCTACATGTATTAATGCATTTAATACTATAGTCCTATAAAGAATATTTCATTTCTCTTTTTTGTCTGATGAAACGAAATTACAATGTGGTTAAATAACTTGATGGGTCTCAATAACGGCAAAGCGAGAGTTCCAACTTAGGATAAGTCCTTGTTTTAACCAAATATTATGCTCTCTGGAAACATGTTAATAAATTCATTGTGAGGCCTAATAATATAATGGAATTATCTTTCTTGGGATTTTGGTTCTTAAAGGATACACCTTTTTCTTGTATAATTGGAATTACACAGTTTGTAGAGCTTTGTATCCCACCTTCCCACCCCATTTAACATACACTAAAGATTTTCTCATGACATGAAAAATATTTCAGACATTTTTTTCCTTGATGTTAACTGGTCCTTACTGACATTGTCACTCTCTCTAATTTGCAGCAGATATCTGAGGTAGATTGTGAAACTGGATAACAAAAGCTAATATTATGTCTAAAATAAGGCAATGATTAAAGGCTTTTAGGATGCTCAGATAGTCTAGGTTGCAGAACTGTAAGGAGAGAGCAGGTGCAGCCTCTGAAATCAGCTAGACCTGGATTTGAATCCCAGTTCTGCCCTTCACTGGCTGTGACCCTAGGCAAGACTGAGTTTCTTTGATTTCTCATTCGTCGAACACGATAGTACTTCACAGAGTTGTTTTTACTGATTCAAGATAATGAATATAAAAGTGCCTGGTACATAGAAAGCATTTAATACTATTATAAAATGATTTAACAATATGGATGGACTTGTTTCTCTATTTACTTATTCAGTGGCTCTTAATTGTATGCTGACTAATTGGGATTACCAGATATAAAATTAAAATCGAGTTTACTGTTATTGCTTTTAATGTCAGTTTACATTTTAGATTTTCAAAAAGGCTTTCAAATATATTCATATCTTTTAGGGTGAGGCTAAAATTAGTTTTTGTTCTCTATTCTTAGTCATGTGTATTCGTTTCCTGTTCAAAATTATGTGGGCTTAATCTTATCCTTATTCTGTGACTTACTCTGTTTCAAATCTTGGCTTTTACTTTATTATTTTGTACACTCAAAGGGAGCAGATTTCCAAAATACCTGAGGCTACCTTTTCATTGTCTATTTAGATGTTTTTTTGTTTATCTTTAAGCCCCACTGAGTTGATG